TCAGAATATTAACAAACAAATGTCAGGAGAGAGAAACGCTGGCTGTATAAAATGACACGTCAGGTAATATAAAGGAAACACCCAAGAAATACATTAACATACACATATCAGATTAGGTAAGAAAAATACTGAAAAAAAATTAACATTCAAAAGTCAGGTAATGTGAGGGAAACACTGAAAAATAAACGTTAGCACATAAATAATGTAAGGACAGGTGAGGTAAACAGTGTTCATATAAACTGATAAACAGATGTCAGGTAATGTGAGGGAAACACTGAAGAAATACCCTGACATACAAATGTCGGCTAATATCAGGGAAACAAACTGATATGAGGAACAGAATCAGATGTCAAGTAATTTGAAGAATAGTAGACCTGACAGTGATTAATGACATTTCTATGACATTTTTTTCTCTATCTCTCTCCTCGATATTCCTTGCATGATAATGACAGGAATATGCCCTCCCCACCCCCAAATATAGACTTGCTTATTCACAATAAACGTATGTGCACAACAAACTGGACAATCTGTTGTTAAATAACGTAAACTTTATACTTTAGATATTTGTTGTTAAATAACATCTAAACTTTATTCTTTAGGTATCTGTTGTTAAATAATGCGTAAACTTTATACTTTAGATATTTGTTGTTAAATAACGTGTAAACTTTATACTTTAGATATCTGTTGTTAAATAACGCGTAAACTTTATACTTTAGATATCTGTTGTTAAATAACGTGTAAACTTTATACTTTAGATATCTGTTGTTAAATAATGTGTAAACTTTATATATCTGCTGTTAAATAACATCTAAACTTTATTCTTTAGATATCTGTTGTTAAATAACATGTAAACTTTATACTTTAGATATCTGTTGTTACATGACGTGTAAACTTTACACTTTAGATATCTGTTGTTAAATAATGTGTAAACCTTAGATATCTTGTTAAATAATGTGTAAAACGCCCTCTTTAGAATCTACTGGACTGCTGTTAGATAATGTGTCAATTGTGTAAATCTCACGCTGACAACTTTTAGATAACATGTAAATCTCCTGCTCTACAGATAATGAGTACAAGGTCCAACAATTAAGTAATGAGACTAATTCCATACAAATTAAAAAAATCAACAGCTGAAGATATAACCTGTATTTGATTCAAAGTAAACCCCTTGTGCATTTATAAAGCAAGTGGCACAATATAACAAACACTGGAACGACCTCTGTAGTTCTTCTGTTGTTATGGCCCTTAAAGTCGATGTTACGGCCCTTTGGATGTCAACAATATTGTTAAAGAAGTGTCCTTTCAATCGTAACTTTAATTTTGGGAATAGAAAATAATCACAGGGAGAAAAATCTGGGGAATAGGGTGGAAGGCTGAGAACACACATTTGTTTTGGTGATGTCTCTTGGGTACTCAACCTGCTGATGTTTTTGGTTATCAGACAACGAATGTAGTACAAACTGGCAAGCAATTTTTTGCTTGCCGAAATCTTGCACTAAAATTTTATGAATGGTCTCTCTATTAACATCAGATTCATCTGCCATCATCCTCACTGTAAAACGCAAAATCTTCTTGTATCCGTCCTCTGACTTTTGTAATGAGTTTATCATTACGAACATAAATTTTGTGTCCAGATCTAGGTGCATTAGTAATCATTTCCACACCACTTTCGAATCATGAATACCACCTGATAATCTGTGCACAAGATAAACAATTATTCCCATAAACTTGTTGCATCAATTCAACTGTTTCAACAGCGCTTTTTATGAGTTTTAAAAAGAATTTTAATGTTAGCTGTTTGCTCCTTGCTGATTACGCAACAATGCACCTCTGACTAGGTCAACAAAATGGCGGCTTGTTTGTTGTCTGCTTATCGAGCGGCGATGAAAAGTTGCCAGATCACAGATGAATGTAGCCTCTTTAGATTCCATGCTTTGCTTCATAGATGGCATTTTTGTCTTAGCCATAATAAAATCAGTCTCATTACTTAATTGTCAGACCTTGTACATACAAACTACAGTACCTGAGATTTTGATCTTTTTCACAGTCTTGTTGGTGTTGTTGTCAACTAGTACGTTGACTGCAATACTCTCTCCATGGTAGTATTTCTGTTAAAATCAATCAAAACAGTGGCATATAATGGACTAGTTATTTACTAAATAAACATCAGGATTTACATATACGGAGAAAAAGTACACACACCTTGGCAGTCTTTTCTGAATAAGCAGTCTTGTCAAAAAACTGCAAATCACTGCCTTTATTATACCATTTTTGCGGTGTAGGCAGAGGGGGTCTTTAAGCCTGGGGATTTACAGCCGCATGGCTAGAGGTGTGTAGCACAGCTCTGTTCTTCGTTGCGAATGTTGATGTCACACCCAGGTTGGTCTTTAGGTTTGCTATAGGAGGAGTCGATTGGAAGATTATAGACGAGGAGAAAGATGGTCGTGTCGATAGTGGCGATGATGATGTCTTGCTAGCTGCATGCTTCTCACGTAACTCAGATGCTTGCATAATAAGGTGTCTGGAAACAACTGTTCTCGTCTGTACTGTCTTTATTGTGATACTTTAGCAATGTCACAAAATAACAGCAATGATATTCTGAATAGCGCCAAGTTCTCTCTATGGCTAAATACTCGTAGGTTCGCGTTGTGTTTTTCATCTCTAGTTACTTTGTTAACTGGTTCTAGTCTCTAACTGCCGCCTGGCTTCTAGTGCTGTTTGGTACTAACGGCTTGATCGTCGACTCTAACATCTCTATAGTGTTCCTAATGTGTCCCTGTTAACCATGGATCCATGTATCTTATGTATCGTCTCCGTAGCGCGATGTCTCGTTTTATGTCTCTTTTCTAGTGTTTGTCTTCGAGGCTCTCTATGCGACTGGTTCCTCTGCTTCCAGTGTTGAGCTGGCATCGAGGATCATTGAGACTAGTCGCTCGTCCTCTGAGTCTCAGCGACTGAAGGCATTCTTTGAGTCGAGCTGACATCTCTACGACTGAAGGCTGCTTTGAGGGTCGATATGACTAGCCCCTCCACTTTCTAAGAATAATAGACTGAAAGCTGCTTAAGTGGATTCTTACCCATTATTTATACTTGATTGCTGGAATGCTAGTTATTTGTTTTCTTCTTGCTTTTTCTGCTTCTAGTATATTCTAGTAAGTCTCAACTTGTTTACTATGTACGTTCTCACGTGGGATTTTCTAAAAATATCTCAATTGCATCGGATTTCATCATCCTATTATACGCAGATATAGTAGTTAAACTGACAATTGACGTCAATAGACTCCTACAAAACAAGTACTACTAGGTTCTCTCTGAAAGGGCAAGGCCAACAATGACGTCAAATACTATTTATAAAATATTGTTTCTAAAACTTGTTGACTTTCTTCTCATCAAAAACTACGCAAAATACTATCTCCTAACAAAGAAGTAATGACGTTGATTTTCAGTTTTGGCGGAAAATTGAAGGTTACCAAGACTTGTTGGTCTCCTTACATGGCCGCTTTGTGCCTACTAACAAACAAGCTATGTAACTCTGTTACAGGTGTCGCCCCGACTGTGCAGGTAAGGATTTTATTTTGCCTCCGATAGAAAAAAATCACCAGTCTTTCAGAGGATTCAAACCCGTGTCTTCCATAAGCAGTGGCAAAACAATGAAACAGGACATACCGGCGCATGTGTGTACGTGGATGTGTTTACTCAGATGCATGTATGTACATGTTTAAGTGAAAACGAACCATTATTAATTGTAGTTGTTGTTTAAGGCTCCAAGGTCAACCTAGCCGCAAGAAAATTGGAATCAAACAATTTTCAGAATCTTCTGACCCACTTTATTTTAACATTCATAGGGCAAAAAAGGTTAAAAAAACCTATAATCAAGAGGAAAAAAGAGGCAATCTGAAGCAATGTAACCCCAACATAGAAGGAAGAAGCATTAAAAAACAAAAAACATTAACACCAACAGAGGAGGTATTTAAAAACAAATTTACCACAACAGAGACAGAACAGGCATTTTAAGTCAAAACAGAAGGAAGAAGCATTTTAAAACAATCATCTGAAAACAGAAGAAAGAGGCATTTTAAAACAATCCTCTCATCTCATCCTGATATCCCATTGTGTTTGTCATGGCCTAGAATATGGTATGGGAAGGTCTAACACTTCACCCCTAATGGCAGTCAACTGCTATAGGACCACCTTTACCTCCCATTACATCTCCCAAACACTTAAAGATATCTACCGTGGCATCCATTAGAGCAGTGTTTCCAGTTTGGTGGTTCAAGGAACAAATCTAAGGGGTCTATAATAACATTTATACTAACTGCAATAAACAAACAAACCAAACAAAAAAATTTGTTTTTAAACTCTCAACTTTAGAATGTAATCATCTGCTTTATAATTTTTATAAATTAAAACAGGTTCTTCAGCTTCCCCTGTGGGTCCTGGAACCCCATTTTGGGGGAAAGAAGAATGAAAGAAGAATAGACCTACTGCCTACCTAACAAGCATGTCGTAAAAAGCGACTAACTGGGGTTTTCCTATAAAGTCAGAAAGTGCCCACCTGAGCTGTGAGGAACTAACAGTCTGCACACAAGTAAGCCAGACATGGAAAACAGTTTCATGTTCTGGAACAAGACTAAAGTCCAGAAGCGGACAAACAACCAGAACTTTTCGTTGCAGTTTACAGCCGGGGAACGCTAAGAAAACAAAGAAGTTATTCAGCAGGGCTATATAAATATATATATAATTTGGGATCTATGACAGACCTGAGAAAAAAACGAAAAAAAAAAAGAGTCCTCGGGTTATCGCTAACTGGGAACCACTGCACTAGAGGATTAGCTACTGGATTTTCTGATTTGCTAACAAGACTCACTTCCTTGTCCAGGGAAGCTTCCAGCCTTATACTTCCAGGGCTCATGATAAAATCCTTGACAGCTTCGGCATTGGGCTGGGGAGCAGGTTCCTCCGGGGCATATGTCAGTTTTCGGATGGCCAGGCGGACAGAGTTCCTGCAACATGTTACACTATATGTAAATGAACATTTACTTTGACTGCATGTACAAGTTAAAAGTGGAGATTAAAGTAAGAGAATTGATTTCACTGCACTATGTTTTATCCTACTTGGCTTGGTCTCTCTCTCACTCTGCAAAATAACTCTCTGAGAGCGTAGCACAAATCTCAAACTTCATACTTCCTGCAATAATCCTCAGGGATCTCTACAAAAACTGCACTCACTTATTGGGTGACGCAATGTGAAATTATCATTTATCATTACAATTTTTTTGTTTTTGGGCGGATGTACTGGTTGTAAACTCTGGCAGAAAGTTCCAACTGTGGACAAATGACAGAACTTTCTGCCAGAGTTTAAAGCTGGTGAACAGAAAGAAGAAGAACATACTCTTTCCATTCAGTTCATTAAACAAAATAATTATCAATCTATTCAGTTCATTTTAAAATGACATGCCACCGTCTGTATCTCTCTGGGCGGCTGTGTGGTCTCAAGGCATGGTGTCTGCCTCGAGTGCTAAAGGCTCTGGGCCTTGGACTTCTAGTAATTCCCCTGGTCTCTGGGTAGTGAGATTGGACGCCTGTGTGCATTGTTGCATATGTAAAAAAAAATCACTAGCCTGTTGGAAATCGAAAAGAGTAGCCTAATCACGCTGCCCGGGCAAAATTTGGAGTTAAAAATCTTCCTGAAGTATTTCAGGATCCTTGCCGGTGCTACAGAGCCTGTTCACTATGCTGAGCTTCTTCGGACTCAGACTTGAGTTGGAAGAAAAATGCACCACTAATGGGTTACATCCGTGTGCCATGATGTTGATCCGCTGTTCAAAAAACCTAAAATCTTCATGCCATCGCCTGTATACTCTTCGATTCAGGTCACTTTTAAGTGCTTTCTTATCTGTAAACACTGTTATTAAGCAAATTAATGAGCAATGCTTTTACTCTGCGAAAATAAATGCTGATTTTACATGCAATACAGATAACTGCTGGGGGACTAGATTGTTTCTATTACACATTTGGAATTGTAATAACTTTATCCCCCTTCTCTCGTCAATAAATATAATTGGCGTCATATAACCTGTAGATTTCACACTTAAATCATGTCAAATCCCCCCTCCCCACGCCAATTTTCTCTAATCTCTGTATCTCACATTTAAATATGATCAAATCTCCCCCTCCACTACCCCTCACATCGAACTACAGTCCATGTTATAGGCTGCCTGGCTCTTACTGTCTTCCTCACACATTTCAGCAGTTTCCTATGTTGTTTTACTCACACCCCCACTTTTTTTTTTTTCATTCCGCTATTGCCCTCCCGTACTCACGCAGTGAGTCTCTCTTCCTTTGCTCATTACAGTCTTCAGCTATTCCTGGATCATCAAGTGCCTTGCCAGCTGGCGTAGGCGTTCAAGCATCTCCACAGATCTGGGTCTTTGGTGTTCTGGATCAGCTTCACCGATGATATTCCTCCATGCCACGGTCTCAACTATTTAAAGCCTGAGCAACGCTGTGAGTGTTGATTAAGAAGTTCCGATTTGTCCAAACAACACTGTCTGCGTCAGTTGTGTGTCCTGTAAATACTGATTCGCAAATAGCTCCAAATTTGTTTCTAATGTTCAGATCTACCATTAAAGTATTCAGGGAAGGTTACCCTAACATTTTTTTTTGTATAAGGCTAAAAAATGTGCCTTTCTGTGGCTGAAGCTCTGAAAATGTTTCAGTCAGATGTTTTCTAATTGTGATATTGACAAAGTTAAACAAAAAATTTGGGAGTGAAGACATTGAATGTACACCAACGGTAGAAGAGCAGTCAGCTGTTTGTTCTGATGAGGTAAATCTAGGAGGAGCCATTTCATTTGCGAAGAATATGATAGTCACCCACATCTGCACCCAAAGGACTGTATCAGACAGTACCATACTCATACTACGGCTAAGCTGCATTGACATTTGTTAGCACCACCCCTCTGCCATTTTTGTTAGGGGAAATTAATGTGAGCCAAGTCTGTTAAAAATTCATGGCCCTGAAAGAGTTAAGCCCACCATCATTTCTGAATGTAACATTTCATTACTTGTTTTCTGATGTTTAATGAGAGTGATTTATATAAGATCCTTTTCATCTTCTGAAAATGCTGCCTTTACCTGGCCAATCCTGCTCTTAATTTCTGTCACACACCATTCATCTGATGTTATGATTATCCCCAAAGACTTGAATTTATTGACTTGGTTAAGCACTTTCCCTTTTATTGCTATGTCACAATTTAGAGTTTTCTTCTTTGATATAACCAATGTTTCTGTTTTCTTAACACTCAAGATAAGCCCCCCCCCCCCCCTTTTTTTTTAGCACTCTCCAGTACCACAATGTCTAATAGTTATATACTATTTCAGCTATTAATACTGTATCATCTGCAGCTTAAGCTATTCTTCAGATTTTACCACTCCATAAATGCATACTTTTCAATAAGGTGCAAAATTTATTTGCAAAAACGCATCCCTAAATACTCTAGATTACCTTTGGCTGTCGCTTAAATATAATGGAAGACATAGCAAATGCCCTGAACATACTACATAAGCCAAAACCTATGACAGACTTAAAAAAAAAACAAGCTTGGTGTACTCCGCATCTCATCTGTAGAGCCGACTTCTATACTCTAGCTCATCTTGGTTGCACACTCTTAGACTGCTGTTCGACCACATCTTGATAGTGTCCTCTGATGTGTCATTGTCTACCTCTTGCCTTGAACATTTTAGTTTTTGAAAGCGTGGTATGTATCCTCTCTTAAAGACACATATTATCTCTCTCAATACTGCATTATTCTCACTGTCTCCTCTACATCATAACACCGACTCTCACTGCCTTGTCATTCTGTCTCATCTTCATTCTAATACTGACTCTTACTATTTCACTTTCACTGCCTCGTCATTCTCAGTCTTACCCGTACCCTAACACTGACTCTCACTATTTAACTCTCATCATTTGGCTCCCACACTTAGTGTCCCTACCACAGATGCTGCCTTACCTTTTATGTGGCTTTTCATCTATGTTGTCAGCCACAAACGTCTTGAGTTCATAGTCAACACCACATGGCTGGAAGCAGACATAAATGAATCATAAATAAAGCAATACTACAACAAAGGCACAAAGAGTGGGTTGACAAAACAGGCAGGGAATTTAGAAACAAGCGGTGACTGAGAAAGTAGTCAGTTAAAATTGATTAGACACAAGGGGTGACTGAGAAAGTAGCCAGGTGAATCGGACACTAGGGGTGCCTGAGAAAGTAGACAGATGAATAAAATGCACACAGTAATTGAAAAAGTAGACAAGTGAATTAGATGCAAGGGGTTACTGACAAAGTAGGCAGGTGAATATGGCGCAAGGGGTAGTTCACAAAGCAGGCAGGTCAATTAAAAACAAATGGTGACTGCCAAAGTAGGCAAGTGAATTATACACAAGAGATTGCTGACAATACAGACTGAATCAGACACAAGATATTGTTGACAATGCAGAAAAGCAAATAGACAAAAGTGGTTTGTAGACAAAGCAGGCAGGTAAATTAGATATGAGTAGTTGACAATGTAGGCAGGTGAATTAGACATGAGTGGTTGACAATGCAGGAAAGTGAATTAGACAATGAAGGCAGGGGAATTAGAGACAAGGCATGGTCGATAGATAATGCAGGCAGTGGAATTAGAGACAAGGCATGGTTGATAATGCTGGCATTGTGAATAGATAACAGGCACTCTGTGACAAATAGTGCTACAGTGGAAGTTAGAGACAAAGGCATGGTTTGATAATGCTGGCATGTCTGTACAGGTTCTACGTCTAAGTTACAAACATGGTCACTTCTGTGTCAAAGTTAGTGTCTACTAGAAAATCTTTTACTCTGCCTAAGTTACAGGATCTATGGTCAATGTGTACAAAGTGTTATCCTTATTCCCTGTGTTGCTGCAAGGTCCATGCACTATAATCTACACTAGGTCTATTCCTTTGATAGATTTTTTAGACGTGCCTGCTGCCGGGGGGGAGGGGTTAGACAGTTTCTAAATGTTTTCTGTAGTTAAAAGCGTTAAACAGAGCGATATTAACACATGTAGCATGGGGAGATTATAGTGGAACTAACTGTCCAAGTGACTGGGGACATGTCAGATCAAAATCGGTTATGAATGACAACAGATGGAGAAGCTCTGCTGTAGGTAATATTAATACTACAATGTTACAGGAGACAAGCATGTTACAAGAAATGTGTATACAGCTATCAACATAAAACAGAGTATAACATTCTAAGACACTGTATTATTTATTCTGGATAATTGTATAGCAATGATTCCAGTTAGTAAATCATCATTGTATACAGATGTGAAAATGGTGTTTTAATAGATAACATTATAGATACAAAGTTGCTACTGATTCAATAAATAAGTCACTAAAACAGATGTGAAAATGCCACGCTAACAAAACACACAACAAATACTGGATGCATAGATGGTGAAAACATTGGTTTATCAGGTAACAGACAGATGTGAAAATTATGGTCTGATAAATCAATGATGGAAATGCTCATTTAACAAATAAGTAATGATTCATGACATGCAGATTTAACAGAAAAATCATGGAGACAAAGAATTTAAACAGACCAATTTAACAGAACAATACCTTTCCAGTGTCTCCTGGAGCTGGCTGTAAAGTAACAGAAGCTGGAGAATTTGGTGGCAGCTGGGGAAAAAAATCAAAAGAGATAAGCAAGAATCTAGATTATGTAACTCACACTTACTGCTGTGAAATAAAAATAACCATAATACATATGACAGGCAGAAACTAGGACAACAAATGAACAAAAAAACTTTAAAAAGAGCCAAGCACTGAGCATGCATAGCTAACATTCTGCCCTTCTAATATATTAGGTCAGTTAATAATTCTGTCCTTTTTATCTCTCTTTGTTTGCATATTATTTCATCCATAAAAAGTAATTAAAAAAGGTAAAGATCCCGTTTCACGCCTTAGGCGCATAGGGCATATGGGAAGAGCAACCCATATTTGTACAGACCAATCGGCACTAGGTGGGTAATGTGGTCAGCATTACGCCGGCAGTCTTTACTTCCCCAGGACATCCATCTTGGTACCAATTTTAGGCTGGACCGATCTGCGACGTCCCGTACCATGCATGATAAAAATCCATCCAGCCAGCAGTGGGTTTCGATTGTGGTATGTTGGGATTACAAGTCGAAATCGCAACACCTACGCCAAGGTCGCTCCTTTTTCATCCATACTTCCCTTATTTTGTTCGCCCCAATGCTGCAAAATATGTTATGCCAGTCTAATCACAGTCATGAATATTTTTGGACACATGAAAACAAAATAGTCCATGCATTCTTTAAAAAAAAAAAACACACACACAAATATAACTTGTAAACAATTTCTTGCAGAGTTTACTATGTAATTTCTGTCTGTATTCCACGTTTGTTACCAACAAATGTCCACAAAAACTATGGGAATGTCGAAATCTTGAGCTGCTGCCCTTAATTTAGGATGATTTTTTCATGTGGACTTCTAGCAATTCCCCTGGTCTCTGAGTAGTAAGATTGGACGTCCGTGTGTATTGTTGTGCACGTAAAAAATCCCTTGGCCGTTGGAAATCAAAAAGAGTAGCCTAGTTTAAAATCTACCCATGGTATTTCAGGATCCTCGCCATTCCTACAGAGTTCGTGCACTGTGCTCTGAATCTTCAAACTCAGGCTTGAGTCAGAAGTAGAGCAGAGCGCTTATGGGTTAACACTTGTGCCTAGATGTTGATCCGTCATCTAAACCTATTCCTACTGCCCTTAAACTCCAGGGCCCCCAAGAAGATTAAATTTAGTCACTTCTGGTTGTTACAGTCTTTTAAATGCTGATATTTTGCCATGTCTGCCGTAAACTGCTCTTGAATGTTGATCCAAGAATTGACATCAAGGCACTGGGGACACTCCCATAAACTCCCCCTTCCCATCTTCAGCAGCAAGCAAAGAATTCCAAATCCGATGGTACTAGTAATCGTCTGATTTTATATCTATCTTGCCTTTCCCTTGAGTGTTGAGCGCCGGCCAGATCCCCTGGTAACTCTTTGCGACGCCCTTTTCCTCAGACCGTAATGATCTATTTGTGGCTCCTCACTGTCAACTCGCTACCAAAAAGCCCTGACAATACTTAGCTTGTCATACATCAATTCACCACCAAGTGGTGCAGAACTGGTCAGTCTATCTGCCTGTTGTCAAAAAGTGTACTTAAATTCCACTGATTCTATATGTGCCTGTACGGTGTTTATGAGGCCAGGAAATGAATAGTTAACTAAACATAGCATTCAGGGGGGATTTCCTCAAATTTTCCTATAAGCTTCAGAGTCACAGCAGGAGTTACCCGATACATTTGAGTTTTTAGACCCCAGGGAATGTATTCCATTTATCACTTCACTGTGTTCGTGTTTATTGATTATACTGTTATTATTTTTAAATAATTTATGATAAATTATAGATAAATAAAATTTTGTTGGAAATTATTAGTGACCTGTGCAGTATGGCTGATTTTTTTTTAAAAGGTTTTTTTCCCAGGACACTGAAGTATGAGGCATGTAGAAACAAATTTCAGAATACAAGAACAGGCTTAACACCCAAAAAAAATTACACCACAATATAGACAGAAGATGTATCTAAATACAATTTCCTTAAAAAAGGGAAGAGGCATTTTAAGACAATGTTGAAACAGAAAAACAAAATGAAGCATTTTAAAACAGTCATCTCAAAATAGAGAAGGATTTTGAAACACTCAAACTGATCCTTTTGTACTCTGCGGTTCAGTGGTAAAGCATAAACTGCGTCAGATTGCTCGTTTGTTTGCTTTCTATATGGGAGGTTCCCATGAACTATTATTCCCTTTGACCTAATGTCTGCATGCTCAATCTTTGTTTCTTTCCCACTTGGCTTATAATATTATATTGTTGTAATATACTGTTTGTTGACAGTAGAGTTAAATGGCTGAACTATTTCTAACCATATCTAGAACTGTTACTGCCCCTTTCCTTTGGAATTCATATTTTTTTATCTTCTCTCTTCTCATCTCATTATAAGTTCTCTTCTCAAGAATCTAATTTCACTTTTCATTTCATTTTCAAATAGGAGTAAGAGGACAAAGAAAGTTTTAAAACTTATTTCAAAATAGAAAAACAGGTATGTGTTTTATAAAACAATTTCTAAAAAGAAGAAAGACGCATTTTGAAACATTCTTACTGCAAATAAAAAAAAAAAAAGAAGAAAGAGGCATTTCAAAGCCATTTCCAAATAGAAGAAAGAGGCATTCTGAAACAATCTCACCATAAAATAGATGAAAGAGGCATTTCAAAGCCATTTTCAAATAGAAGAAAGAGGCATTTCAAAGCCATTTCCAAATAGAAGAAAGAGGCATTCTGAAAGACTCTCACCTTAAAATAGAAGAAAAAGGCATTTTGAAACACTTACCTCAAAATAGAATGGGTAGGCATTTGGTCCCAGCTTTTTAATCAGCCTCTCTTGTAGACGTGACAGAGGCTTGGCTTCCTTACTGTCTTTCACTGGAGGGTACACCTGCAAGAAGTGGTGAATATATATATATATATATATATATATATATATATATATATATGTATGTATGTATGTATGTATGTATGTATGTATGTATGTATGTATGTATGTATGTATGTATGTATGTATATATATATATATATATATATATATATATATATATATATATATATATATATATATATATATATATACACACACACATGCATACATTGTGTGTGTGCACGTGCGTGTGCAGGCGTGCGTACGTGTGTGTGTGTGTGTGTGTGTGTGTGGTTTTTCTAGGTAAATTTTACGTTCAGTAGTTTACCAATGCCTACTGAATGGTCAGCTCTCGGTCTCACCATTAATGTGATGTCAATTCTTGACTCAACTCAACTCAACTCTCACTATCGAAACCAATGCAAGACAAATCATTCACAATAGAAAGAGTTAAGCTCCCTCTTCCACATTTTTGTTGTTGTTGTTGTTGGTCTATCTTTATTTCTATGCCCTAGGTTATATTATTCTCAGAGTTTCTCAACATATGTCCTATATTTTCTTCACTTCCTGGCTCACTGGAACTTGTTTAGTTCTCTCCCAAAGCTCCACATTAGTGATGATTCTATCATACCATTTAATTTCCTCTATTCTGCCAGGCATCAACTAGTTAACGAATGTTTCTAGTTTATCCTTGTGTGGGTTCCAGGGCCCCATTGTAGGGAAAACAAAAATAGACCCACTGCCTCCCCAGCTAGCATGTCGTAAGAGTCGACTGACTGGGGGCTTGCTTTGAAGTCGGAGTGCATCTGCCCGAGAGGCAAGTTACTAACAATCTGCATACAAATAAGTCAGATCTGTAAAACAGATGTGCACACCACACTCAGGTTCTGGAACAAAAGACTAACATCAGAGGTGAATATCACACAGTAAGATGGTTAGTGAACAATTAGTTGGAAGCAGCGGATATGTAATTTTACAGATGATTGATAAGAATATCCTGGAGAGACCACAAGAGTAATGAAGATGTCTTGAAAGAAACTGACTCACAAAAAGAACTTATTACCCACATCCAAAAGAGGCTATCTACATTCTTTGATCATATCATAAGGAGAAAACTGAAGTACATCATGGCGACGGGATAGTTGGAGTGGAAAAAAAAAAGAGAGGGAGGTGGAGAGAGAGAAGATGCTGGACACTCTGACATTATGGCGTGGAGATCATCTGTGACAGAATAGACTAAAAGTACACAAGACATAAGAATGTGGATAGACATGACTACCATTTGACACAACAAGCACTATAAAAAGAAGACATTTCTCTGCATCTTGTCAGGTGCTACATCCTTCCTTCCTTAAGTCCATGCTGTGTGGCTTTGGCAGTCATGTCTATGCACAACCTTCTGTCTCGTGTACTTTCAATCAACTCCAATACAGATGATCATCCATGCCATAATGTCAAAGGGTTCAGTATCTTTTCTCTCCGTTTTCCTCTGTATTTCCTCCTCTCCAACTTTCCTACTGTCACTGTAGTGACATAATTAAATATGACAAGCAAATAAATGAATTCTTCAGAAAAATAATTTATAGGAAGGTGATGAGGAAAGGAACTGGTTGCACCCACCTAATATGTCATGGCCTTTCATCCTTTCACACACCATCAGTGGTATCTAAGATCATCTCTACTTATACAAATTGGTTAAGTATGCTTTAAACTAACTCTAAATGCATACTCAGATACTCACCTGCATAGAAGACAGATACAAATCTTTTCTGAAAGTCAGTCCCAACACATCCAGATCCTCCCGGCCATAGCGAAATGCAGCCAGGATGTGGGCAAACACCTTCCGATCCTTGAGATAGTCAGGGTCGACCAGGATGACTCCATCTGGACAGACATGGCACAAATAAAAATCATTTTTACAGTGACATGATTGACATCACTGCCCTGGGTTTGATCTCACTGCAGAGTGGCTGACTGCCTGCCAAGATAGTTAGTTAGTTAGTTAGTTAGTTGGGTTATCGTCATTGCACTCCGGACATGTCCATAGGTGCTCAGATCCTCCCCTCAGTATGAACCCCAACGTCCGATGGCTAATAGTACCAGTTCTATGTTGATTAACAAGTCTTCTGACGTGTCCGGTGTGCGTCTCGTTTTTTGCTCTGCCGATCTTAATTCCCAAGTCTGCCATTCTGGCGAGTGATGTGGATTCACTGCCACCAAAGTCCTCTATCCGGCCATTTCTCTGAGGGCATTGATAATATCAGCATGATCCATAGGCCGACCGTCGGTAGTGATAGCGGATCCAGCCAACCTGTCAGCTCTTTCATTTCCATCGACGCCTGCGTGTCCCGGAACAAAAATAAAGGTGACTCCACGCACAGTGGACTTCTGTAATGATTCAAGCCATTGTCTTCGCACTGAACCTGCCTGAACCCTCCGGATCATACTCATTGAATCACTGGGTATACATATGCGGGTGTATTTTTGTGTTTCAAGCCAGGCAAACGCTTGCGTCACTGCCATCACCTCCATCGTCATGCTGCTGGTTGTCATGCCTGCCAAGAGTATCTCACAAAGCTAAACCTCAGTGGCTCTAGCAATGGACACTTGGGATCTATGAAACATCTGCAATTACACACTGAAGGACACATTTTAGAAACAAACCTTTGACTATCAGAGAGCAAACCAAACAGTTTCATCACTTTCCCACAAAGTCATTAATGGATATGTAATTGTAGTATAATTTGAACTGCCTTGTTTCATCAAATCTGACACAGCCTTTGAATTTCAGGCAGTCTCCCTCTTAGCTTATGTTTCTTTACATAAGGTTCCCATCTCTTGACCTGTTTGACTTGAGAGATCATCCAAATAGCTATGCTGCCACTGCTATAGTTCTTGTGGTCTTTGGGACATGCTAGCCCCTCTACTGCACGGGCATATAAAAAAAAAACACTGGGAAAACATAGTATATGTCAGCTTTACATGTCCAATTACAACAAACAATTACACAGCAGAAGTGCATGGGGGTCCACAGTAAAAGCGAATGGATACCCCTTAGTGCAAAAAACGCCTTGCATAGAACATCTAGTTGGAGAATGGAGGTAGAGGCAGTCGGTGGAATCTTTCATGGGCTTGAAAACCAGCCTCACACACATGATTGTAACTGACTCACAAAGCATGCGAAGAAAGGTGGAGTCAGATATGTTCCTTGCAGAGTGGCAAGCATCACAGGTCCAGTGTAGTCAGCATCTACTGGATTTTATCTTCTTCTGATGTTTGATGTTATCAAGGTCCTTTGGGGGTGAGTGGAGAGACAATTAGATTATTATTGTTTGAAGAGAATAGTGCAAGTAGGAGTGACCAGGGGATCTGGTTGACACTTCACTCTGAGAGGCAAGGCAAGATAGAGCTAGAACTGTTTACTGGCTGCTGAAGATTAAGAATGGAGTGTCAATGGCAATGTCCAGAGTTCAGTGGACAGTTTGGCTCTCTCTGATTCTTGGCTCTTGAAACTTACAAAAGACAAACAAATTTGTAGGAGGTGAGGGAGCCTGGCGGACATTTGTGGAATATGAAGAAAGTTGTCAGTGAACTGAGGATGAAATAAAATGTGGGAGAAGCTAGAAACAAATCTAAAATATAATGATACACAAGACAAGAACAAACAATTGAGTGTTGTCTGGCTATTGTAACTGGACCTGCACAGACAGCATATATACTTTGTTTCTTCAAAATACTGATTGTATATTTCTTCATTCCGTTTTTTATTCTTTTCTTTGTTTTTCCGAGACTTTCCTAGCTTGAATGCAGTCACCTCATTTCGATTCTGCTACAAGGTAGAGACACTGGAGAAGGATTCCAGGGATAATAAAATTTCACATAACAGAAATAGTGTAAGCATAAACATCAAGTAAGACAAGAAGCAGGGTAGACAGTGTATCAGTTTCAGTCTCTCTCACCCCACCCATTAGAATATGCCATTAACAAACTCCAGCCCACTGCTTAGTGATAGAAATCCCCTTGTGTACAAACAGGAGACATGTGTGAGTGTTGTGTGGAATAACAAGAGCAATGCCAATGTAAGCACACAGTAGTGGAGTAGCAACACTAGCATGAGGGACTTTCCACTATCAGTGGGCAGTGGAAGGGTCAATTAAGTGGGCAGTGGAAGGGTTAAATAAGTGGACAGTAGATAGGTCAATTAAGTGGAAAGATCAAGCAACTGCACAGTGGGAAGAAGACAGTGGAAAGATCAAGTAAGTATGTAGTGGAAGGGAAGTTAAGTGGACAGTAGAGGAGTCAAATAAGTGGATAGTGAAAAGATCAGGTAAGTGGACAGTGGAAATATCAAATAAGTGGGGATTGGAAGGGTTAAGTAAATGGACATTAGATAGGTTCATGTTTTCACAGATGGGTCAGCACAAAATGCAATCAGAAATGGAGGAGCAGGAGATATAACTGAGCACCCTAATCTTGCCAGGGATACAACCAAAATATGAATAGGAAAGCACTGTCACAACTACGATTCAGAAGTTCAAACCCTCAAGATGGCAGCAGAGAAACTACTAAATACCGGGTATTTTTCACAAGTGGTATTCCTGATAGATGTAAAAGCAGTATTTCAGGCACTCCAGTCTGGAAAATTACTAGGTATACAAACAGTATTCTTTGAACTAGGCAACTGGTGTAAGGAAGATATGCAATGGATAGAAAAGTTATCGGAAATGAAAGAGCTGATAAACTAGCTAAGGAAGGCGCAACTGAAGAACAACCTGATGTACCTATCAATAGAAGAAGAGAATAATCAAATCAGAGAGCCACAAAAACTGGCACAAAACACTACATTATGGACAGACCAGAGCAAGTCATCATTCTACACCTTAGAACAGGGCACAATTTACTTCGCAGACACATGCATACAAAATTTAAAACTAGCGAATCAGCCATGTTTAAATGTCGACTGGCACCTGAGACAAAAGATCACATCATTCAAGACTGTCCCAAATCCGACATTTCCAGGCAAACCTTCTGGCCAAGAGAGACACTGGTAGAAGCCAAACTTTACGGGCCACTAAGTGAATTACAAAAGACAGTGATGTTTATACTAGAGATAGAATTGCAGATATAGATAATTTATTTCAAGTGAATGAAAGAAGATAGATCAAGTAAGTGGACAGTGAAAAGATCAAATAAGTGGACAGTGGAAAGATCAAGTAATTGGACAGTGAAAAGATCGACTAAGTGGACAGTGAAAAGATCAACTAAGTGGACAGTGAAAAGATCGACTAAGTGGACAGTGAAAAGATCAACTAAGTGGACAGTGAAAAGATCGACTAAGTGGACAGTGAAAAGATCAAATAAGTGGACAGTGGAAAGATCAAGTAATTGGACAGTGAAAAGATCGACTAAGTGGACAGTGAAAAGATCAACTAAGTGGACAGCAGATTGGTCAAGTAAAGGAACAGTGGGAGGGTCAAGTAAATTTATGTCAAGATGCCTTTATTTCTTTCTCTTCTGTCAGTTTATTTCTGACTCGAGCTGTTTGGGAAAAATAAAATCTCGGGGGTCTTGCATGTATGGCAGAAAACTATATACAATGCCTCCATTTTCAGGAAATACAACCTAAAGTCAGAAATGCCCCTCTATAAGGCACATGTGTCAAGTCAGTACTACCCCTATTAGAGGTTTGCACCTAAAAACAGTATTAATTCTCCTTGGTGTTAACTCCTAAAGTCAGTTTTACCCATCTTGAATGTTTGCACCTACAGTCAATACTAATTCTCTCTGGAGGCACCTACAGTCAATACTGATTCTCTCTGAAGGCACCTACAGTCACTACTGATTATCTCTGCAGGCACCTACAGTCAATACTGATTATCTCTAGAGGTGCCCGGCTCTCTAGCGGAATTGGCTAAACCGGATTTCGCGGAGACCGGCTGACGTACATCTTGTGGTCCGGGTTCAATCCCGGGGTAGGCAGGAAAGCCACATTTTCTCCCAGATTTACGGTATTTACAATGGAATCAAGGCCGAAAGGTTGCGATATCCATAATACCGAGCCTAAGGGTTAACAACTCATGGCTTCTGGATACTAAAACAAATAAACAAACATCTATAGAGGTACCAACAGTCAGTACTGATTCTCTCTGGAGGAACCTACAGTCCATACTGATTCTCTCTGGAGGCACCTACAGTCAATACTGATTATCTCTGGAGGCACCTACAGTCAATACTGATTCTCTCTGGAGGAACCTACAGTCAATACTGATTCTCTCTAGAGGTACCTACAGTCAATACTGATTCTCTCTGGAGGAACCTACAGTCAGTACTGATTCTCTCTCTATAGGTACCTACAGTCACTACTGATTATCTCTGGAGGCACCTACAGTCAATACTGATTCTCTCTAGAGGTACCTACATTCAGTACTGATTCTCTCTGAAGAAACCTAGTCAGTACTGATTCTCTCTGGAGGCACCTAGTGAGTACTGATTCTCTCTGGAGGAACCTAGTCAGTACTGATTCTCTCTGAAGGAACCTAGTCAGTACTGATTCTCTCTGGAGGAACCTAGTCAGTACTGATTCTCTCTGGAGGAACCTAGTCAGTACTGATTCTCTCTGGAGGCACCTAGTCAGTACTGATTCTCTCTGAAGGAACCTAGTCAGTACTGATTCTCTCTGGAGGAACCTAGTCAGAACTGCTTTTCTCTGGAGGTTAGCTCCAATGGTCAGTCAGTAATATATGAGTTTAGCAGTTAATATCGCTACTGCCTCTCTTCTGAGCTTTACACCTAAAGTTTTTCCCTTCTCTGAGGGTTTCTCCTAAAGTAAGTACTGACACTCTCTGAGGTTTGCACTTAAGTTGGTAGTGAACATCTCTGAGGTCTACATTTAATTCAGCACTACCCCTTTTGAGATCTGAACGTGTAAGTAAGGCCCCTCTCTGAGGTTTGCACGTAAGTCAGAAATTCTCCTCTCTTGAGATTGTCTCATAAAGTTAGTACTGCTTCTCACTAAGATTTTCTCATAAAGTTAGTACCACTCTTCTATGAGGTTTTCTCATTAAACTAGTTCTGTCCCTCTCTGAGATTTCTGAAGTTAGGGCCTGTAAGCAAGGCCCCTCTTTAACATTTGCACCTATCAGGAATGAAAACCCACTTGTAAGGCTTTCTCCTAAGTCAGTAATGCCTCTCTCTGAGCAATCTAGGCAATGCTACATACTCTATATAAAACATTAGTGCTTAGTTGAGCCAAAATGTTTCTGCTTCTGATTCACAACTAACTACCTGAATGACCTTACTTCATTGAAAAATGAGATGGAATAGTAGGCGCGACTTACCTATAGGATCAATATGAGACAGGTGGTCAATGAAGTCCCTTTTACCAAGGTATGTTGTTATCTGGAGACAGATAAAACATATTCATAACATCAAAATAAAATTTCCTTGTAAATTTGTATTGACAAAAATCACTTTTTAAAATGGGGGGGAGGAGAAACAACTGGACAATTTATTGCCTGGCACAGTTCACAAAAAGGACATTGAGGTAAACTTGTGGTAAAGTTAGGATTGACAGGACCAATTTCGGGTTTTATCCTATACAGCCTGGTCTCTCTCCTTTCTAGAACAGCTAACCGCTTACCAAAAGCATCACACATGGAGAAACAACTGGACAGTTTATTGCCTGGCACAGTTCACAAAAAAGGACATTGAGGTAAACGTGGTAAAGTTAGGATTGACAGGACCAATTTCGGGTTTTATCCTATGCAGCCTGGTCTCTCTCCTTTCTAGAACAGCTAACCGCCTACCAAAAGCATCACACAAAGCATGTTTCCAGGGGTCTCCGTAAGAAAATTCACCTGTGAACACAGCAGGGAAGTTCATCAAAGTCAAGAGATGAAGTGCCGACTTCCTCACTCCAGTCTCCTCTCAGACAAGAACATTAGGGGTTTTGGTGGTGAAGTGATTAAGCAGTTTCTCTGGCATTGTGAAGAATCACAGATTTATTTCAGGGACAGTTCATGAGTGCCGGACTACTTCCATTAACGAAAAACTGCAATTCTGGTGGAGACTGTTGGCTTTGGTGCTTCTAGCAACTGCCATATGCATTTATTGTGTTAGCCAATTTATGGATTGTTATGGGACTAACAGTTTTTTAAATGAGACAGTGGGGAACATTTCATTTGATTAGCACAGGAACGGAGCAAGTATGGGAAAATCTGATTGCAGTGAAGTTGAAACCTCAAGTAAGACTAAGACAAATAAGCCAGATCTGTAAACTGGATGTGTATGCAGCACTCAAGTCCTGAAAAAAAAAAAAAGACTAAAGTCTAGTAGTGGCAAACATCTAGAATTTTCTGCCAAGGTTTACAGCCATGCAAGGCAAAGACGATAAAAAAGAAACAGTTTATGGAGTATTAATTGGAGAATATAAAACCTTATTAAAACTCACTATGCAAGATTACATAAAATATCATGTTTACTTGTGATGACAATCAGAGAATATCACTATCATTTTAAAAATAAAACACTCCTCAGAAGCAACAATGCATTCATCCTCATCATCATGTAGCAGGTCCTTTGCAGACAGTCGCTCTAATCAGGGTCTGCCTGAAAGAAACACGGTCTCTTGCCAGCTTTCCTGCCTCATGTACTCTCATACTCAAGGAGTCACTTATATCCTGTGCCCATCTTCGTGTTGGTCAGCCCCTGCCCCTCCTTCCTGGTACCATGCCTTCTGCTATTATTTTTTCTGATCCATTGTGGCGCTTGATATGACTAAAATATTTCAGCTTCTGAGACAGGAAGTTGTTTATTAACCAATCTTCCTTGATGTTCAGATCTTTCAAGATGTCAGTATTTCTCCTCTTCTTTGTCCAAGATATTCTGAGAATCTTTCTATAACATTTCAGCTCAAAAGCCCCTATTCTCTTTCTTAAGGATTGGGAAATAGTTCACAGCTCACATCCATATGTTGCTAAGGGAAGATAATGCACTCATCAGACTAAGTAAAACTTCACAAGCCAAGGTAAAAAACTAGATAAAACACTGACTAATGAGCAACATGTTAGGAGCTTCTTTCTTAGTTGATAAATTGTCCACTGTTTTATCTACACATTCCCTTGCTAAGAACAAGAGAAGAAACAACTTTCATCAAGGAATTCTCAATCTCCATTAAAATCCTTTTATGGATAAACAGCTGTTGAAATAACCAAGAACTATTTTGTCAAAATCAAAACCAGACATTAATTCATTTATTCTGCCCCAGTTGCTTGTTTTCACTTTTTTTTTTTTATTTTTGATTCCTTTAATTCCAGCTGCCACTGTCTCTCTTTAACTTATTCCGCCGTTTTTCTCCACTCTCTCTGCTGTGTCATTTGAATCACAATGAGAAGTTTTTTCTGGAAAACAGCTTCTGTGTGAATTGTATATGAGAGTTGATGAAGATGTTCCAGTGTCTATGTCCACCTTATAAGATCTATGCCAATGTTACACGGTTTATATCGCTACAAGGTATATGTCTATATTACAGGGTCTAAGTCCATGTTATAGTGTCTAAATCTATGTTAAAGGGTCTATGTTCATATTAAGGTGACTATCTATCTATACAGTGGCTCTGTGTTGAGGGGCAGACAAAGTGCATGAACTTTAATAGAAAATCGAATGGACGTCGCCTAGTGCAGCAAAGCCTTGCATAAGATATCACAACGTCTAGTTTGAGAATGGAGGTGGAGGCTGTCCTGGCTGCCTTCCGCTGGTTTGAGAATCAGCTGTACACACATGCCGTGATTATAACTGTCTCACAGAGCATGTTGAGAAAGGTGAAAACAGGCATGCTTCATGCAGAGTTGCAAGCATCACTTCAGATGTCCTGGGTGGTTAGCATCCTTTAGATATTTTCTCCAGGTCAGGCCGGTGTGTTGGGAAATGAGCAGGCAGATAGACTAGCTGGCTTTGCGCCACTTGGTGGTGAACTGATGTCTGACAAGTATGATATTGTGAGGACCTTTTGGGAGCGAGTGAACAGTGCAGAAGCGTAGATAGATCATTACGGTCTGAGAAGAATGGCGCTGCCAGAAGTTACCAGGGGATCTGGCCGACGTTCAACACTCAGGGGAAGGATGAGACGGATATACAATCAGATGGTTACTGGTAGTTTACCCATAGGCCAAAATGTTGAAACCGGGGATCATGCCTGAGCCCAACCATAGGAAAACGATTAATATAATACAACTGGCAATGATCAGCAGGCCATTTGTTAGGTCTCCGCGGGCCAGATTTGCCCCACGAGCACCCAGTTGAATAAGCTCTGTTCTATACCATGTTGCAAGGTCTATGCTTATATTATTGGTCTATGTTCATGTTACAGAGTTTATGTCAATCTTACAGGGTCCATGCCACTGTTATGGGGTCTTGTCTATGTTCTAGGGTCTGCGTCCATGTTCCAGTGTACAAGTTCCAGATAAATAACAAAGTCTATGTCTAAAAAAAACCATGAAACCCATGTTTACCAGGTCTATATCCGGTTACTTTGAAAACCCCCCCCCCCCCTCTCCATCTGTGTATCCGTTACCGGACGTTGCACAACCAACCTCAGCATTTTTTTTTGTGTGTGTCTTTTGTGGTTTTTCTAGGCAAATTTTACGTTTATTGAACTTACTGAATGGTCAGCTATCGGTACCATCGTCGAAACCAACGCAAGACAAATTGTCCGCAGCTGGGATCGAAAACGGCACCTCGGCATTACGAAGCGCGTTGGCAACGCTCATAAGCCACAGACGCCGACAGCTTCCCCAAACCAACTGTTAATCTACAACCATTCCACTAGTCCAACAAATTACTCCAACCCAGACACATGTTGCTTCAACCTATTCTGTCCATGTTTATTCTGTAAGGTCCTTCACTCCCAGACTGTTGTTTGGTTAGGTAAGGGCTGCATTCACACAAAGAGACTTCATATAGCAGTCACTGATCCAAATGGAAGCAATCTGAACATGGATCAATACTGTCTTGTTTAGCCACACTCCCTTTTCTCCTGAGCTTAACAAATAAAGAGGAGAAAATATGAGATTTGTGTGTGTGTGTGTGTGTGTGTTTCTTTTTACTCCCAAGAGTTGAGTTGAGTCAAGAATTGACATCACAGCACTCGGGGCATTTCCATGCGTGCTCCGTCCTCATCTTCAGCAGCCAGCGCAGAGTTCCAACACTGATGGTACCAGTCACAATCTGGTTATATGCACGCACGCACATACACACACATCATTAAAAAAGTATATATGAGTGCTGTCGCCACAATGGAAGTGGACTGCCGTGTTGCTGCTGTCTGGGAATATTACGTGGTGACATCTTTTCCGACGACATTCGCACCTCTGTTGGACGGCCAGCCAAGATAAAGGTCTTTGTCCTAAACGGCTTGTCACGGAATTCGAACTCTGGTGCAATGATGATTGTGAAATCACTAATTTATAATCCACAGAACTGCTTAGTAAAGTGCAATGCGTACCAACCACGCCAACAAAGGAGTTTTTTACAGGTGCGATCCAGGGAAAAACGCCCGGTAAGAAATGACCACTGACAACGTAATTACGAGACTGGCTCTCAGGGTTTCTAGTTTCCGTCCGTAGTCAACATTTTCCTAATCTAGCATTTTACGTACGCCGCCCATTGATTTAGTCCTGATTAGGGCAGTCAATTTGGCGGTCGCGTCGACGTAAGGCCGGGGTATAGCTCTCTAGAAGGCCACGGGTGTCAGGAAGGGGCTTGGGTAGAAAGTCAATTACATTAAAGTTCGGCAGAGTTACAAGATAACTGCATTAAGGAAATGAGATTTGGAGAGGGGGAGAGTAACTGATGGAATAAAGGAGAAGAGGAAGAAAAGATGACAGGAGGTGGAAAGAAGAGAGAGAGAGAGAGAGAGAGAGAGAGAGAGAGAGAGAGAGAGAGAGAGAGAGAGAGAGAGAGAGAGAGAGAGAGAGAGAAAGAAAGCAGGGAGAGGGGTGTTGAGAAGAAGCAGGGAGATTGAAAAATGAGAAAGAAGGACGTAAATTGTAGGGTGAGAGAGAGAGAGAGAACGAACGAACGAACGAACGAACAAACTTTATTTTCAAAGGGTTAAGAATTGGGCACGCAGGCCCGTCTAACATTCTGCCCTTCCACTCTGCTCCTTTCATACAATGTTTCATTTTTACCTCATTTCATAGTTAATAGTAATAATAATAATTGATAATAATAATAATTAATAAAAAGAGGAATGCACAATTAAAAATTTGAGAAATATAGAAAAGAAACAAAAGAACAAAAAAGAGAAGAAGAAAAAAAAAAAAAACAATATCTAAGTCTTAATTACAAATGCTGGAATGTGCTCTAATTTATACTGACATTACTTGAACGTTTGAAAGAGT